TGCCTGCTGAGAGTTTCCAAATATTCATGACTAACCAAGCAGATTTCTATTTTAGGACAATTAAAAATAGCGTATTCCTCCATGTGCTAGGGGATTAGTATACTAACCAAAGGATTAGTTATTCTATGGTAACATATGTTTACTCTGTAATTTGAAAACTCGGGGCCCCAGTTTAGAGTAATATTCTTTGTATTTTTGAAGGAAAGTACATAATGTCTTGATGCATAGGCCTTGTCATGTGTACAGATGTGAACTTACATATGTGTAGGAATGTGCACTAACTAGTATTCAGTCCCTGTGGCAAAAATTACAGAACACAGAAAGCCAGCATTATTTTATTCAGATGGACGTCAAGATGAACATTATGTTAGTTTTCTTCAACAGTATTGACTTTCATAATATCAAAGTGTAAAATATTCCCAACTTTCCTCTTGTGGAAATAGAAACATAGACAATTACTAATTTTTAAATGATTTTTTAAAAATTCTGATCATTTAAATATCTTTCTTATACCCTGACCAACATCCAAGAAATAATTCTCCAAGCTGTAGAGACAGCCAGTGATTTAAACTGAATCTACCTTTGAATGAAGTTTTTTTGAATCCTGCCTTTTGTGAATACAGAGAATAGTTCAGAACGATATTGCTAAGCCTCTTCTGTCATCTCAGTTATTAAAAGTTGTGTGTAAACAGTGACACAATAAAATAATGCAATATATCCATTATTCTACTTGGGTGAAGGTGTCATTAGTGAGTGAGAATGAACTCTCTATATATAATATAATGTTTTCCTTATGCTTCTTCAAGATCCATCTTCTCCTTAACACTTATCCAGCTGAACCGCCCAAGTTTGCTGTGGGTTGGTTGGTCTGTACACTCCTTTTGCCTCTTACCCTGCTTGTTTATTAACACCATTCCTATGGTTTAAGCTAACAATTCAAAGGCTGAATTGCTATTATCCTATGTCTGCCCCGTGCTCCCTTCCCATCTGTCCCAGTAAACTGGATTAGGAGGATTTTCTCTGGAGCCCTGTTCAAATAAAACCTCCCACAGAACTTTAAATCCATTATATTTTCTGATAGAGATATCTGACTGTA